ATACTACCACCAGAGTAAACAATTCTATTCAGACAAATGGATGTAACAATTCTATCCTGGCTCTCAGGGACGGTGTCAAACTAGGGAAGGGGAAGACAAATGACAGATGCCAGTTCTTGCTTTGTCGTTGTATGCAGGACAACTGAACTTTTCCTGATAAATCCTAAAATAAGAATAAAGAATAGAAAGAAAACCCCTCCAAATCCCTACAGACCGCAAGTATCTAGCACACAGTCTCGACAGGAAGGCTCACGGTGCCTGACGAACACCATCCATTTAATGTAAGCAGAGACGAAATTGTAATGCCCAACAAACCTGCCATAACACATTACCTCACCGGTGATTAAAAACTCTTCTGATTTCAGTTCTCTAATGAAATTACCAACTGGCTGAACCCGGAATTGACGAGATAGACCCTTTCATAAAAATCTTTATGATTTAAAGGAGAAGACTTTTTTTCCCATAGTTTAAACATTTGTAGTTGTTTACAAATGACGCTGGGTTCCATAGACATGTGCCTGACAAAACAAATCTTCTACAGAATTAGCTGAGTTCACAAGCTTCTTTCTTTACTCTTAAACCAACACTTTTTGACTGAAGTAGAGCATTTTTACTATTTTTCCCTTATATTTAATAATTAAATAATTAAACATAGATTACCAACATAGCTGGGCTTTCCCTTCTCTTTAATAACCTGTTCCAGCTTCACACCCGTCTTCCCAAAGTAGCCTAGTGAATAGCAATCGAGAAATAAATAAAAAGAAAATGCCGATCAGATACAATCCGAGCTTTTTTTATCCCTCTCTGTAACAGTAAATTCTGGCTCTCAAGATATGACGCCCGATTAACTGACTTGTTTTATCCCGAGAGTTTAATAAAGCCATGCTTCTTTGCTTACCTAAAAAGCAGCAATAAATATTTATAATATAACAGAGTAACATACAGTAAGTTAGAAAATAAAAGCCCTCTGTAAGGAGGAGTAAGGCACTTTTTTGTCCCCCTGCTGTTTCCATTTTGAAGAGTATTTTTTTTTGAAAGCGTAATTTTGTCCTGACATTACAGTAGCGTGCACATCTAACCGGTAAAATCTTCAGCCAACAGCTCAGAATGCTGAATAAGTCATTCACCCATGAAGCAGTTGTAACCGTTGGGAGGTTTATATTTTTTTGGTCTTCCGGAGTTTAACATACAATTTGCTTTTGGGCAACAATAAAAGCAGTGAATTAGCATCGGCCACCAAGCAATTATAATAACTTGAATTGCCTCAGGCCCTCTTCTATCACCCCTTTACTTGCACTTTTTTATTTGACCGCCTCTTCTTGGGCTTCTTCTGAACTTGTTTATTTGTGTTTTTTTTTTGCTTTTTTCTTTGTTTGTGATTATCATGCCCTCCTCTTTCCTCCTTTCTGACTCCCTCAGCCAAGTCATGGTTTGTTCCCAGAATGCAAGGTAAGTGTGGGTGGCCTGATCTTTTTTGGCCTTTTTTTATTTGGTGTTTTTCTTCTTTTTTCTGTAAAAAATTATGTCTCCCAAAGTGGTTTTTTTTTTTTTTTTTTTCCCCAATCCTTTATTATTTGTTGTGGCCCTTTTGTTGTTTCGTCCAATTAATCTTTGCCTTGTTTATTTTCCTATGGTGTTTTTATAGACGCTACTTACACAGTCTCATTGCTTTTTTCTCTCCCATCGCCTCCTTCACCTTTTTTTACAGCTCTCCTCCAGCATCAATCTCCCGAAAATAAGATCTTTTCGCCCTGATTTTTGTAAAATCATTTAGTCCAAAACCAGACAATTTTTTTAAAAAAACACTTTTGGATTTTGTTTCTGATGGTTCTCCACAACAGGAAAGATATTGACTATTTTCAGCAAACCAATCTTATTATCAAGTTCACCATTTATGAATCGGGCAGTTTGGTGATATGTTTTTTTTTGGCCATGGGGTCAGAACAGGGAAGAGAACTTTTTAAATTATTATCTGAACAAAGAAATCCAACTCATTCTTTACTGAATTATCATGACTAATTTAATCAGTGCCCTGATTAACAAGAAGAAGGACCCAGGTTAATACGCACCCATAGAAGACCATGAACAGAATGGGAACCAATCTTTGTCATCTACAAGAATTAAATTCATTTTGGAGGGCAGGTACTGTGCCAAGAATAGGACACACACACGCACACGCTACACACACAACACAACACACACACACACACAAGACACACACACATTCAAACCGGTTTACACACAATCTGTATCCGAAATGCTTGTTTTGCAGTTACTGTAAGACTTATGTGGCTGTGGGCCCACTTTTTTGGTTGAAAGTAGATGTCTTATTAGGGATTACCTGTCCTCCTTTCATAATGTTTCCTTTTGTCCCCTGGGCTTTGTTCTCCCAACAATCCCTGTGCAAACCTCTTATCAGCAAACTTCCGCCAAAGACTCAAAAGTTAAACAAGCCATAATCTCCTTTTGCTCTCACACCAGTTCTGAACACAGTTAGCCTAAACTGCGTGTTAATTTAAAACAAAAGAGTGATAAGGAACTTGTTAATCGCTGTGCCTGTGTGCCGTTTGTCTGTCACTGTGGCCTTTTTTTTTAAGTTGTTACTGTTGTTATATTGGTTACGTGTGTTTTTCCTTGGGTTGTCTTGTTTGTATTGGCAGCAAATGTGTTGTTTGTTTGTGACAGAGACGCTTACCAGCAACAGTAAATATTGCCAACTCTGAGGGATGAGTGTAAAGATGCCCATAGCTTTTACGTGGTGCAGAGAGTAGAGGCCTTTTTGTTTCAACGGTAGAGGGAATTCACTGGCCTTCCCTCTGGGGCTCGCCTTCTGTTAAAATCAACCGTCTTCATTTGCTTTGGTGGAGGCCAAAGCCTTTTAAAAATGGCTGCTTGGCAAATTGCTCATTCGGCACCACAACCCTTGAGAAATATGATTTTTCCATCTCTCCCCTCCCCACCACATTTTCAATCAATAGAGCAATGCAGCAGCATTTTTAAGGCTGCTCCAGCCAGCAATGAGACGTGATTAACAGAAGGGAGCCCCAGAGGAGCCAGTGAATCCTCTACCTTGACAAAAGGCCTCTACTCTCTGACCACTAAAGCTATGCATCTACACTCATCCCTCAGAGTTGCAATTACTGTCTGGGTAGCGTCTCTGTCACAAACAACACATTTGTGCAAACACAGACACCCAAGAACACACGTACCAATATACACAGTAACACTTAGCACAGTGACAGACAAGCACACAGGCACACGATTAACAAGTTCCTATCACTCTTTTTGTTAAATTAACACGCAGTTAGGCTAACTGTGTTCAGACTGTGTGAGAGCAGAGATTATGCTTGTTAACTTGAGTCTTGGGAGTGCTGATAAGAGGTTGCACAGGGATGTTGAGAACAGCCCAGGGGACAAGACATGAGGAGGACAGAATCCTAATAAGACATCTACTTCACCCAAAGTGGCCCACAGCACATAGCTACAGTAACTGCACAAGCATGACAGAGTGAACGTTTGTGTGTGTGTGTCTGTGTG